ATCTGGGATAGTAAAAAGATTTCTCAAACTTTTAAAATTGTAATGAAAACTAATTCAAAAAGGAAATTTTGAATATCTGAAAAAAGGAAAGTAAAGCACAATTTTATTGCTGACAAATCCCTGAGATGCACTAGAAAACCCATAAACAAGAACATAATTTAGCATATTGTAGAGTCGGCATCTCAGGGCCCTGGAGACATCTTTTAATAAACAGCATCTGGACAGTTGAATATGGCATTTGAAAAAGATTGGGGTTATGCCAGACTATGATAAAATCCAAATGCAAAGTGGGAGAAATAGTTCTAGTTTCTTTGCACAAGATAAACAGGCACTGAGTTCTTTTAAAAGTCAAGATAAAAATAACAAAAAGATAAAAACCTAATGAAAAGCTGCAGAGATCTGGGCTGCTATATAACATCTGTAGCCCCAGCTGAATTGGGAGAGCCCCTGAGAGCTGGAGGCCACCTTGCACTGCAAAGTGAGTTCCAGCTCATTCTTGGCCAGTGACCACCCTCTCGAAAATCATGGAGGAAAAGAAAGCAAAAGGTAGGAACAGTTCACAGAGAAGCACAGGCAAATAAATGGTCCAGAAAGAAACTATGAGGAATTCGATCAGTTCTTACCTGTCTTAGAGTTTGTTTGCTGTGACCAACACGAGGGCCATACACAGTGTGGGAGGAAAGGGTTTATTTCCTCTTACAGCTCTCGGATCACCGTACATGGCCGAGGCAGGAACTGTAGGCGGGAGCTGAAGCAGAGGCTGCGGAGGGGTGCTGCTTACTGGCCTGCCCTCGGGGCCTGCTCTGCGTGTTTATTATAGCATGCAGGACCAGTTCAAGGGTGGTACTGCTTGGTAAGCTGGGCCCTCCTACATCAACCAAGAAAGTGCCTCGTAGATTTATTTGCCCACAGGCAAATCCAATGAGGGTGTTGCAGGATATTTGATCCCGTTGTGAACCCCAAAACTGTGAACTGTAAAACCCTGTTTCTTTAGTTTAGAACTTTTTCTTTATTGTAAACAGGTGATTATGGTGTGGTTCAACCAGCCCTAAACAAAAAACCCAGCTGACAGGGATTAAAGAGGAGGGACTTTGAGTTGAGGGGTATTTAAGAAAGCATGGAGAAGAAAGGACTTTTAGCTCAAGCTCTGGCTTTAGCTTCAGCTCCTCAACTGCTTGGCTTTTGGGGATTTGAGCTAGCAAGCCTTTGGCCTTGGATTTTTTTGGCCTTTTCCTCCTAGGCTGTCAGTTGAGCTAGTGAGCCTTTTGTGTTTTTTCCCTGGATCTGAGCTGAGAAGGAAGGTCAGCTGGGTGCTTTCTCTGCCCTTGACCTAGGGTTAACTTTATTAAATCTGGTGTTCAGAAAGCTCTTGGGTTAAAGGTGTGTCCTAGGGCTGGCTGAGGATCCTGGATCTCCTGGAACTGGAAGGTTGGTGCTAAGAACAGAATCCAGGTCCTCTGCAAGAGGAGCAAGTGCTCTGAAGCCCCGGACACATTCATTACCTGAGCCCTGAAACAGATTAGAAAAGAAATTCAAGTAACATCAGTGGGAAGTAGAGGACAATGTAGCAATGTAAAGTGGACCTGAGGAAATGGTCTGAACAGTGAATTGTGTGTCTAGTTAAACCACCAAGTATGTGAGGGAAACACAAGAAAATGCTTACAATCCTGTTATCCTTCTTCTCACCCTTCAGAGATGAAAAAAACAGATGACCAGACAGGATGAGCTATGGATCTGGGAAAGCTTTTCTGGACTGTTCCTGTGAATCGAGACTAGGGGGTGTCGCATTGGTTAGAAGTGGATTCTGAATTGTCAGATACCTCAAGGTTGTGAAATAAGTTTGTAAGTCCCTATTTAGTTACTTATATTCTTGAACAGAGAAACATTTTAAGACATCTCTAGGGGCTGGAGAGATGGCTCAGTGGTTAAGAGCACTGCCTGCTCTTCCTAAAGGACCTGGGTTCAATTCCCAGCACCCACATGGCAGCTCAAAACTGTCTATAATGCCAATTCCAATGGATCTGACACCTTCAAATTAATGTATACAAAAATAAAATTAAACAAACAAGAAAAGAAATCTCTAAAGATGGCTGTTTCCCCTGCCTTTTGCCAGCCATATTCCAGTTTTGTTCAGATGTTAAGGTCCAGCTGCTCTTAACAGAGTCTGGCCCTTGCCTAGGCCAGAGGGTGAGATCTGATTTGTGCTGGTAGCAGTGAGCAAACTCCCTGGTGATTCATTTAAAAATACGCATGGGATGGGAAGCAAAGCGAATAAATTGTAATGCATAAAAAAACTTTTAAAGAATACAAAAAATACGCATGGGGCTGCGGGCTGTGAGAGGCGGGGCGGGGTCTGTGGAGGGCCTGCAGACGGAGACAGTCGCGGTGCTGTCAAACCACCATGAGCTTCTTCCCAGGAGCCTTTGAACATCTTGGGCCACCTGAACCAAACTGTCTTCCCGAAGGGAACCAGAGGACAGAGTCGCCACGTTTGAATAACTAGCAAAGGGAACCATTGGGAACATATACCCATGACAGTTACTTACAAAGACAGATTTTTCTGAATGTTTAAAACCGTTCAGTTGGATTTTGTTACAACTATATACTTTCTAACAGACACAAAAGGAGTTTGGCCTAATTAATTCTGGTCAGAATTCTGAATTCTGGCAGAAACAGTTGAAAGGCTATTTTTGTTGGTCTGGGGAGGTTGCTCAGCAGCGCTCACTGCTCTTGCAGGGGCTGAGTTTGGGTCCCAGCACCCGCACAGAGTGACTCACAACCGCCTGTAACTCCAGCCAGGGGTCTCCAATGCCTCTGGCCTCTGTGGTACCTGCATTCACGTGCACATACTGACACCCTGACACATATACAAAACCAGGCACGGTAGTGTGTGCCATTAGCTCATGTACTTAGAAGTCACAAACAGTGGATCACTGATCTCTATGAGTTTGAGGACAGCCAGGCCTACATAGTGAGATTCTGTTCCAAAATAATAAAGTTAAAATAAGGTTAAAACTTAAATCTTCTGAACTTACAGACTGGAAGTTTAAATCAACCCGAGCTACACAGTAAGACACTGTTTCAAAAAACAGGGGCAAGGGAGGCTCCTGGGAGTCTATGAGGTTCACCCTAGCCGAGACTCCAAGCCTGAGGTGGCCACTTCTTATAGTCAGGCGGGAAGCCTAGTGCAAGGAGGGGGACATCAATCCACCCTCACAACCTTCGACCCAAAATTTGTCCTGCCTACAAGATGTACAGGGATAAAAATGGAGCAGAGATTGAAGAAATGGCCGACCAATGCCTGGCCAACTTAAGCCCCACCCCATGGGAGAGAGCCAAGCCCTGACACTATTAGTGATACTCTGCTGTGCTTGCAGACAGGGGCCCAGCATAACTGCCTCTGAGAGGCTCCATCCAGCAACTGATGCAAACAGATGCAGAGACCCACAGGCAAGCAATGGGCGGGGCTCCAGGAGTCCTATGGAAGAGTGGGAGATGGAGGGGTCAAGGACTCCACAGAAGACCTACAGAGTCCACCAACGTGGCCCATGGGGGCTCACAGAGACCCACCAAGCAAGGAGCACACATGGGCAGGACCTAGACCCCCACACATATGTAGCAGATGAGCAGCCTGGTCATCATGGGGTCCCCTACCAACTGGAGTCAGGCCAGTCTCTAACTGTGCTGTGAACCTTTGGGTCGCTTTCCCCCAGCTGGGCTCCCTTGTCTGGCCTCAGTGGGAAAGGGTGCACTTAGTCCTGCTGCGACTTGATGTGCCAGGCTGGGCTGGTGCCCCTGGGAGGCCTCCCTCTCCCGAGAAGGGGGGGGGGGGGGGGGGGGGGGGGGGTGAGGGTGAGACTGGGAGGAGAAGGAGGGGCTGTGATCAGGATGTAAAGTGATTAAATAAGTTAACAGGAAAATATAAAACACTTCAAAAAATTGAACTCAATCACCAAAGACTTAAATGTAGGCCTAAAACTATAAAAACATTTTGAAAAAAATAGAGCAGAGCTTCACAACACTGGATTTGACAGTAATTTCTTGAATATGATAACAGAGGCCCATACAACAAGAAATAGAAAATTGGACTCCATGAGAATTTTTAAAATGTGCATCCAAAGGCTCTCAGCTAGACGTGGTAGCTTATGCTTGTAACCCCAGCAGTCTAGAAGGGAAGCAGAGGGACCACAAATTCAAAGGCATCCCGGGCCACATAGCAAGACCCTGTTTCAAAACAAACTAAATACGAGCAAAAGGAAAAGGCAACCAAAGAATAGGAGAAAACATCTTCCTATCTTATATCCAAAAGTGGTCAAACCTGGGACAGAAGACACAAGTTTAAGAAAATAAACAGCCTGTTTAAACATGGGAAGAGGCCTTGCTGTGATCTGAGAGCCTGTGTCCCCCATTTTCCACGTTCCTGTTAAAGCTTAATCACCAGTGGGAGGAGGTGACTGCTTCCGGGACTCCACCGGTACCAGGCACGCATGTGGTAGGTACGCTGATGTGTGTGCAGGCAAAACACTCATAAAACCAAAGAAAATGCTCTTTCTATTAAAATATGGAAACACTACACATGTGAGCCTAAAAGGTCTTTTAAAGCTTTTTTATATTGTGTTCTTTTTGGCAACACAAATAGTAATTACAATAGTGTGGCATTTGTGCCATAAGAGTGCATAAATTTATGTAGTTGGCATTTTTATTATGTATTTACCATGATAAAAATACAGCAAGATACATACTGTACCGTATGATTTAATGGGATTCTAAAATACCCAAAATAATCTATAGGCACAGCAAGTCCCTCTATGATTGAAGATGGGCAGGAAGCTCCTGCAGAAGAAAACTATGGTGGAAATGGAAATCCCATTTGGGGGTGTTAGGATCACAGTGTTTCTTTAGTTTTGTTTTGTTTTTTTATTTTTAAAATTATTTTTATTAATTACAGTTTATTCACTTTGTACCCCCCCCCGTACCTCCCCCGCCCCCTCCCAATCCAGCGTGCATAGAGGTGCAAAGCTGGGCACAGACCTCAACAAGTTCCGTGTCTTTGCATTCACGGACAACCAGCTTAAAAATCGCCAGGAGGTGCACGCTGGGGAGCCGGCGCGCGGGGCCTTGGGGATGCTTCAGGCTCCTCCGTGGCCAGCGGGGTCCGAGCCGCCCGCTCTCGGCAGCGGGGCTCGAGGCGAGGCTCCGCCCACCCGCAAGCCACACCCACCCGCGGGTCTCGCCGGCGCAGTCGCGTGAGCATGCGCACCAGGCCGTCGGCGCTCGGGGGCGCCTCACCAACCGCGGAGGTTCAGCGTCTCCGCTCCTCCAGCGCAGGCTGAGAACCGCGGAGAGACCCAGGCTCGCATCACGTGACGGACCTGAGCCGGGAGGCCCGACTGCCGCTCGCCCAGGCCCTGTCCCGCCCGAGATCGTGCCCTCCTGGAAACGGGCTGCTCCCGAACCACGCGGCCCGCCCTTTCAGGTAGGCACTGTGTAAGGCGGAAACAGGTCTGCGCGAACCCGCCCTCCGCCGCCCGCCAGCCCCTTTCCGCTGACGGTGAGGGCGGGTTCTAGGCAAGCTCCAAATTCTGCACCTCCGCGCTGACATCAGATCCCCGACTCGCTTCAGCTTTGCCGACTGCAGCACACTGCCCGGTTAGCGGTGTCCCACGGCTCCGGCATCTCCAGCGCCTTTCGGTCTCTAGCGAAATCTCGGCTTCCCTTCCACAGCCTCACACACCGGCTTCCCCAGGCCTCCATGCAGGGGCCACCCCTAGCACGGGAATGCCTCCGCGGCTCTCTGTAGCTGTGAAGGACAACCCATAACCCCTTTCTTCTATCCCTCACTCTCAAGCCAGAGCCACGCGGCTGAAGCTGCCAAGTTCTGCTGCTGTTAGAACGTGGCCCTTGTTTGATTACATCTGAATCGGCTTTCGTCACTGCTTAATCTTGAATTCCTTTCTACAGGTTGGGGTCTTGTCATGATGTCACCGCTCCCTTTATTCCGTTTAGCACCAGGCTTTTCTTTAAAAACTATCTCTTTAAGCACCGTACTTAGCTCCATTACGCTTCCCGGTGCTCTTTTTCTTCTGTACGGTCTTGTACTTCTCCTTGTTCAGCTTGCTCCTTTTCATTATAGAGCCGCATAAGAATGACCACTAATTACCATATGACACAATCAACACCGAGCAGCCTTGAAATCTCTTCTACCAACACCATTAATCTAAAACTCTTCAATTTAGCCTCAGGTAGGTTTTTTTTTTGTTTGTTTGTTTGTTTTTGTTTTGTTTTGTTTTAGACAAGGGCAAAAAGCGCAAGAACAGACTCTAGGTCATGTTTGTCCTCTCTAAAGCCTCTTGAGCTGATCCATCATAATTTACACAGCTCTCAGCACCACGGTCTTTCTTGCTCCTACCTGTGCAGCCCAGTAAGCCGCACTTAAAAACATGCAACTGCTTTCCTAATCCGAAGTTTCACCGTCTACATTCTGCCAGCAACCAGCACAGTCAGGCCCGTCCCAGCAACACCCCCACTCCTGGTACCAACTTCTGTCCTAGTCACTGCCCTACTGCTGTGGAGAGACACCCTGACCGGGGCAACTCGTATTTTAAAAAGTCATTTCACTGGCACTTGCTTACAGTTTCAGAGGTTTAGTCATCACGGTGGGAAGCATGGTGGCATGCAGGCAGACATAGCTACATCTGGATCTGCAGGCTTCAGGAAGAGAGACTGTGCCTGGCATGGACTTACTCAAACCACCACAGCATTTTTCTGATAAATCATGTTTACTGGATTTTTAATTTGTTGCCTCATTTTTTTCCGTAGTAGATTTATTGTGGTGTCCAGTGCTCTGCCCTGTATTTTATTTCTTGAGCATAATAATCATTGCTATTTTAGAAATGATGTTTGAGGCCAGAAAGATGATCCGATGGATAAAAAAGCACCTGCTGCAGAAGCTTGGCTACTTGAGCTCCACCATTCCCAGAACACATGTGAAGGGAGTGAGCAGACACCACAGTTACCCTTTGGCCTCTACGCTGTGACACTCTCACACCCACACCCACTAACAAATACATTTAAGTCAGTGTTTGATAACACCATGACCTGAATTCTCTGTAGGTTTCTATCTCTCTTCTTGATTTTGGATACATAAATTTTTTTCCTTACCTGGCTTTTTTTTTATACTGTGTTTATTGTATATAAAAAGTTACAGAGATTGTTTGAAGCCTGAAATCGATGTTCTTTTCCTCCAGAGAGAAGTCATGCTTGCTTCAGGAAGTTAGCTAGGAGCGCCTCACAGAAGTCAGAAACTGAAGTAATTGTGCTGGACTTGAGTGGTATAAACCTTGTTTCTGGGGTAACCTGTGTGGAGAGAATATCTTGCGTATTGTATGGATGCATTGCTGCCAATTAAAAAAACCAATGGGCTATAGGAAAGGGCAGAATTGAAGGTCGGATGTCCAGCAGGCAGAAAGGATTCTGGGAAAGAGTGAGGCACGGGAGATTAGCCCTGAAAGATGTAAAACAGACACATGGTACCTGAGCAGAGGTAACTAGCCACGAGGCAGAGGTAGATTAATATAAATGGGATATTTTAAGTTATGAGCTAGTCAGAGAAGAGCCTGGATATATGGCTTCAGTATTTGTAAGTAAATTTTGATTCTCATGAGTTATTATTCCAGGAGCCTGGGACTGGGAGGAAAAACATGCTCTCCAAACTTACCTAAAATTGGATTTTAAGCTTGGGTGCTTAAAGCACAAGATTCAGGCATGAAGCCAAGAGTTCTGGGCATAGGAGCCAGACCAGAAAGCCAGGCAAGGCCCCTTTAAGAACCTCCATGGTGGTGGGCTGAGCATTTAATATTTATATTATCAAGGGTCAGTTAGTAGGTGAAGGTCTGTATTCTGAATTCAGAGTACAGATTATGTTTGCTGCTACCTTAGAACAACAGATTGTGTTTCATTTTGTAGAGTTTGGAGAGTTGAGATATGTGCACGTGTTGATGCATCATACTATTGACACATACTCAGAATTCCGATGGGTTTCTGCCTTGAATTCTGAAAAGAATGATTCTGAGATTGTATATTTATTAGAGACGGTGATTGCCCTGGAGGTGCCATTGCAGATTGGGAGTGATGGTTTGTTTAGCTATTGGAATACAACAGTTTTTTGGATATTATGACATAGAAAATGTTACCTATATAACTTACAGTCCTACAGGTCAAGCAATTATGGAGACATCTAACAAGAATTTAAAGGAGGTGCTCATAGAACAGAAGGAGGATAAGGAATATCACAGACATAGATTAAACGGTGCCTTGTTGACTTTGAATTTTTAAAAAGTCAATGAGATAGGTAGCACAGCTGTTAAATAACATTGGACTTAAGAAAGGACTGCTGAATTAGATCAGTCCAAAGAAGTCTTTATTCCAAAATGGAAGAAAGGAGGGGTATTGCACTGGGGAGGAGATTTTGCATTTGTTCCAACAGGAAAAGAAAGGCTGTGCATTCCGTCCAAATTGTTGGAAATAAGATTTGACAAGGGGAGACCCCTGAAGAACTTGGCTGCAGACAGTAAGAGGGAGGTCAGCAGGAACAACAAGGCACATAATGTACACACTGATCCCTCTACATGGGAACAGCTATGAGACCGCCTGAGGCATGAATGTCTATGCATAGCCAGTAAATCTTGTTGGCTACTGAGTCCTCATGACTTTTTAGTACATGCCACCTCTTCATATGGCATGGATGGAGACTTATATTGCAGTTTGATTATACAGTCCAAACTAGCTTCGAAAGAAAGAAAGAAAGAAAGAAAGAAAGAAAGAAAGAAAGAAAGAAAGAAAGAAAGAAAGA